CCGTCGGGTTGTTGGTCACATCCACCCGATCCGACACGCTGTACTTCCTGACCTCACGAAACGCATCTATGGGCACACACACACACACACACACACACACACACACACACACACACACACACACACACACACACACACACACACACACACACACACACACACACACACACACACACACACACACACACACACACACACACACACACACACACACACACACACACACACACACACACACACACACACGTTAGACCTCTGAAGGTCCCAGGAGGAGCTGTTGTGTAGGGGTCCGGTCCGAGGCCCTAACGACCCCGTCGCAGCCTAAACCCTTCAGGTGAGTGACGGCAGACGCACCGATGAGGAGGAAGACGAGGATGGCGATGGCCACCATGAACCACGTGTTTCCGTACAGAGCGATGGTCTGCAGAATCCGAGACTTAAAGATCCTGTTCCACCTGCAAAAACACAAACAAACACTTGTTTGTTTTTGTTTACCTTGTTTGTGACGCAAACCAACTGATGTGTGCGTGACTGGAGCGATTCATCGGCTCACTGGTTTATAGACTTCAGCTCTAATTCTCCAGGAAAAGGAGCTTCCAGATGCTTTGGTCCAAAATAAAACAAGACTTCAGCACGGTGAGCCGTTCCTACCTGGACCAGCGTGTTACCTAGGAGACCTAACAGCTCCAGAGACACGGGACCTGATCACATGTCCTCTCGCCGCTTTAACGAGCCAGCAGGTGCAGATCCAAGTTATGACTGAGTCCAGCACAGGTGAGCACTGACCTTTTAGGGGAGACGAAGGGAATGCAGAGCAGAAGGACGAGGAAGACCTCGACATAGAGAAAGGTGGCGACCGCCGTCCACTGCAGACTCATCACGACTCCTGGACAAGAGACATTAGAGGACATAACGGGTTATAAAGAACTAGGGGTGGACCGATGTGTCGGGCCAATATTTGCCATGTTGTAGATATCGGCACCGGCTGGTGTAGCTCCTTGGTAAAGCCGATTTAAACACAGGCACATCCCCAGGCAGCCCAGCGCTGCTGCAGGAAGCACCTGGATACCAGCCATGAAAACCACAGCACACACTGGCCATCGGCTGACCGAGCCGTTTACATGTCAGCAATAGAAAAACCAAAATCAGTATTCCTCTAGAATGAACTAGGAACGCTCCTTTGAGGTTCCCCAAGTCCCTGAACCAGACAGGTCTGGTTTACGCAGTTGGACCGGTACCAGATGTGGGTTGGACTCCGACAGAGCTTCCAGCTGTCATTGGCTGTAGAATGTTTTCAGGCCTGTTTACATGTTGTTTCAGGCCTGTTTACATGTTGTTTCAGGCCTGTTTAAAGGCTGTTTCAGGCCTGTTTACATGTTGTTTCGGGCCTGTTTAAAGGCTGTTTCAGGCCTGTTTACATGTTGTTTCAGGCCTGTTTACATGTTGTTTCAGGCCTGTTTAAAGGCTGATTCAGGCCTGTTTACATGTTTCAGGCCTGTTTACATGTTGTTTCGGGCCTGTTTAAAGGCTGTTTCAGGCCTGTTTACATGTTGTTTCAGGCCTGTTTACATGTTGTTTCAGGCCTGTTTAAAGGCTGTTTCAGGCCTGTTTACATGTTGTTTCAGGCCTTTCTACATGTTGTTTCAGGCCTGTTTACATGTTGTTTCGGGCCTGTTTAAAGGCTGTTTCAGGCCTGTTTACATGTTATTTCGGGCCTGTTTACATGTTGTTTCAGGCCTGTTTAAAGGCTGTTTCAGGCCTGTTTACATGTTGTTTCAGGACTGTTTAAAGGCTGTTTCAGGCCTGTTTACATGTTATTTCGGGCCTGTTTACATGTTGTTTCAGGCCTGTTTAAAGGCTGTTTCAGGCCTGTTTACATGTTGTTTCAGGCCTGTTTAAAGGCTGTTTCAGGCCTGTTTACATGTTGTTTCAGGCCTGTTTAAAGGCTGTTTCAGGCCTGTTTACATGTTGTTTCAGGCCTGTTTAAAGGCTGTTTCAGGCCTGTTTACATGTTGTTTCGGGCCTTTCTACATGTTGTTTCAGGCCTGTTTAAAGGCTGTTTCAGGCCTGTTTACATGTTGTTTCAGGCCTTTCTACATGTTGTTTCAGGCCTGTTTAAAGGCTGTTTCAGGCCTGTTTACATGTTGTTTCGGGCCTTTCAACATGTTGTTTCAGGCCTGTTTAAAGGCTGTTTCAGGCCTGTTTACATGTTGTTTCAGGCCTGTTTACATGTTGTTTCAGGCCTGTTTACATGTTGTTTCGGGCCTGTTTAAAGGCTGTTTCAGGCCTGTTTAAAGGCTGTTTCAGGCCTGTTTACATGTTGTTTCAGGCCTGTTTAAAGGCTGTTTCAGGCCTGTTTACATGTTGTTTCAGGCCTTTCTACATGTTGTTTCAGGCCTGTTTACATGTTGTTTCAGGCCTGTTTAAAGGCTGTTTCAGGCCTGTTTACATGTTGTTTCAGGCCTGTTTAAAGGCTGTTTCAGGCCTGTTTAAAGGCTGTTTCAGGCCTGTTTACATGTTGTTTCAAGCCTGTTTAAAGGCTGTTTCAGGCCTGTTTACATGTTGTTTCAGGCCTTTCTACATGTTGTTTCAGGCCTGTTTACATGTTGTTTCAGGCCTTTCTACATGTTGTTTCAGGCCTATTTAAAGGCTGATTCAGGCCTGTTTACATGTTTCAGGCCTGTTTACATGTTGTTTCGGGCCTGTTTAAAGGCTGTTTCAGGCCTGTTTACATGTTGTTTCAGGCCTGTTTACATGTTGTTTCAGGCCTGTTTACATGTTGTTTCAGGCCTGTTTACATGTTGTTTCAGGCCTGTTTACATGTTGTTTCAGGCCTTTCTACATGTTGTTTCAGGCCTATTTAAAGGCTGATTCAGGCCTGTTTACATGTTTCAGGCCTGTTTACATGTTGTTTCGGGCCTGTTTAAAGGCTGTTTCAGGCCTCTTTAAAGGCTGTTTCAGGCCTGTTTACATGTTGTGTCGGGCCTGTTTACAGGCTGTTTCTGGCCTGTTTAAAGGCTGTTTCAGGCCTCTTTAAAGGCTGTTTCAGGCCTGTTTACATGTTGTTTCAGGCCTGTTTAAAGGCTGTTTCAGGCCTGTTTACATGTTGTTTCAGGCCTCTTTAAAGGCTGTTTCAGGCCTGTTTACATGTTGTTTCAGGCCTGTTTAAAGGCTGTTTCAGGCCTGTTTACATGTTTCAGGCCTCTTTAAAGGCTGTTTCAGGCCTGTCTACATGTTGTGTCGGACCTGTTTACATGTTGTGTCGGGCCTGTTTAAAGGCTGTTTCAGGCCTGTTTAAAGGCTGTTTCAGGCCTGTTTACATGTTGCTTCAGGCATGTTTTTCATGTTGCTTCAGGCATGTTTACATGTTGTTTCAGGCCTGTTTACAAGCTGTTTCAGGCCTGTTTACATGTTGCTTCAGGCCTGTTTACATGTTGCTTCAGGCATGTTTAAATGCTGAGTGGATCGTGGAGGTCTTAGACTAAAGTTCAGAGGAGGTGTGGCACGCTGACCTCTCTGCTGTTGTCTCATGTCTTAAATCTAAAACGCGAAACATTGTAACATGTGACCATTACCGTCATGAATTCATCGGGGTCCCGGACATTCACTGGAATGTGCAAACATGTTGGATCTGTAGAGACAGCTTGCGTCTACACGCTGGGGGATTTTCGGTTGAACAAAGCTTCGGTGCGGCCCATGTTGGAGATAAAAGCTTATGATTTCTCTGTCTGTGACTTTAAAGGCGGTTGTCTGAAGGCGGACTCACCTTATTGTGCCACCGAACCGGTCTCTGAGGGGGAAACGGTCTGAGCGCTCCGGCAGAGACGACAAACGCAGACGTTGTTAGCTAGCTAGTTTAGCTTCCTGCTATAAACACTTCCGCTGTTTTAATGCCAACTCACCTCGAAAGCTGATTGGATGCACTGAGTTTAGAGTAGGCGGAGCTAAGGTGGAGTCAGGCCGGATGCGACGTCACTAAAGAGAAAAATGATTCACTTGGTGCTCCTGTAACAATCCAATCCAATCCAATTTTATTTATAAAGCGCATTCACAAGACATTACAACCAAACAAGGCGCTGTACACTAAAAATGTTGGTTAATTAAACAGGCGTTATATAAACATGTCGAACACAGATAAAAGATAAAAACAAATGAAAATCCCTGTTGCCACCAGAGAATGCACGATCTGATATGTTTGTAGTGCGGTTAGCTAGCTGCTAATAGTTCCTGCTTTAGCTTGTTGATTAAAAAAACGTAGAAATATAAAAGTGCCATATTTTATTTCGAAATTATTTGCAGGAAGTTCCTATCACTTATGTTTTGTGTAGCTTAATTTAAATGCTGTAGTAACAGCTTCTATCCGCCAGAGGGCGAAACAAATCCTTATTCTCAAAAGCCAGATACTCAAAGATTAAGTTCTCATGTTTTCATCCAGTCACCATAATTAATACATAAAATCCCTTATAGACAGAGAATTTTGCCATCAATCAAGTCAAATTACAGTTTATAAATAAGTAAATTAAAATTTGTTTAGACAAAAATCAGTTTAAAAGTGCATGTCTATTGGTTAATTGGTGTATTTGGTTTAGTTTTTTATTTCAGTTGTTCATACATCCATTGTTGAATAAAATCGCATTAATTATTTTCCTGTGCAAAAATGTGCACCTTTTGACAAAAAGGTATGGAGGAAGCTCCAGGTTAGTTGCAACATTCAACAAAACTAGTTCTCAAAATCTAAAACACGTGATTGGATGGAGATGAAACATGCATCTGGCGTGTTTCCAAAACTAAAATCAAAAGTTTTGAAATATGAAACATTTAGAATCTGCATCAGGTTTGTTTGCATTCAATGCACACGTGTAGAAAATGCAAATGAGCAAAAGTATGTGCAAGAAGAGTGGGTTGCATCACAGACAGCAGTTAAACTGAGGACAGTGGAGTTTTGTTTTGGCGGGTTTCTATGAGTCTTAATCAGAAATACAGAAGAACTCACGTAGTTGAATTCAATTCAATTCAATTCAAAACTACTTTATTAATCCCAGAGGGAAACTGATTGCTGTAGTAGCTCAGAATAATAATAATAATCAAGTCATCAAAGAGTTGTTGTATATTACAATGGCTGTTGGCAGGAAGGATCTCCAGTAGCGGTCAGTGTTGCAACCAAACTGAAGAAGCCTCTGACTGAAGACACTCTTCTGTTGTCGGACAGTCTTGTGAAGAGAATGCTCAGGGTTGTCCATCATTTTCTTGATTCTCTGGAGAATCCTTCTTTGCATTATCTCCTCCAGTGGTTCCACAGTCGTCCCCAGAACAGAACCAGCCTTTGTTATTAGGCTGTTGAGCCTTTTCAGGTCCCTGCTTCTGATGCTGCTACCCCAACAGACGATGGCTGAAGAGATTACACTCTCAACAACAGACTTGTAGAAGATCTGCAGCATCTTGCTACAGACACTGAAGGACCTAAGCGTCCTCAAGAAGTGCAGTCTGCTGTGTCCCTTCTTGTAAACGGCTTCGCTGTTCTTTCTCCAGTCCAGTCTGTTGTCCAGGTGAACTCCAAGGTATTTGCATTCCTCAACCACCTCCACTTCTTCTCCCATGAAGGAAACAGTGTTTGACTCCACCCTGTTTCTTCTGAAGTCTAAAATCGTCTCCTTTGTTTTGTTCACGTTCAAGGTCAGATGATTGTTTCCACACCATGCCACAAAGTGCTCCACCAGCTCTCTGTACTCAGCTTCCTGTCCATCTCTGATACACCCGACAACTGCAGAGTCATCTGAGTATTTCTGTAGATGACAGGTCTCTGACTTGTGCTGGAAGTCTGAGGTGTACAGGGTGAAAAGGAATGGTGAGAGTACAGTCACCTGTGGTGCTCCAATGTTACTGATCGCCTGGTTTGATGTGCAGTTCTTCAGCCTCACAAACTGTGGTCTGTTTGTCAGGTAGTCTTTAATCCAGACGATAGGTGAGGCCCCCACCTGTGTCTTCTGGAGTTTCTGGCAAAGTACATCAGGCTGGATTGTGTTAAATGCACTGGAGACATCAAAGAACATGACCCTCACAGTGCTGCCTGCTTTGTCCAGATGACAGTGGATTGGTTGAAGCAGCTGGATGATGGCATCTTCAACTCCAACTCCATGGCGATAAGCAAACTGCAGCGGGTCCTGATATGTTCTAGTTTGCTTATTCAGGTGGACCAACATGAGTCTCTCCAGGACCTTCATAGTGTGGGATGTCAGGGCAACCAGTCTGTAGTCGTCAGTGACTGATGGGCGAGTTTTCTTTGGAACTGGAACAAGGCAGGATGTCTTCTACAGGACTGGAACCTTCTCCTGGGCCAGGCTGAGGTTGAAGAGGTGCTGCAGAATCCCACAGAGCTGCTCTGCACAGGCCTTCAGTACTCTGGGGCTGACACCATCTGGACCTGCAGCCTTGTTCCTGTTCAGTCTCTCCAGCTGCCTCTTCACCTGACTTCTAGAGACAGATAGGTGGGAGGGGGAGGTAAACGGGGCAGCAGCATCTCCTGACTTGGTTGAAGACAGATTTATAGAACCAGAAGAGTCCATGACTGCGTTAGAGGACAAAAGAGCTGGCGTGTGACAGGAAAATGTTGGATCAGAGGAGGATGGGATGTCTGATTGGCTGGGGACAGGCGAGGAGGATGCTGGGTTTGTTCCTGAACTGTATCCATCCATCCATCCATCCATCCATCCATCCATCCATCGTCCAAACCTGCTGGTTAACTCAAGGTCGCAGGGGGCTGGTGCCTATCCCCAGTGATCTCTGGGTTACACCTTGGACAGGATGCCAGTCCATTGCAGGGCAGCACAGACACACACACACACACACACACACACACACACACACACACACACACACACACACACACACACACACACACACACACACACACACACACACACACACACACACACACACACACACACACACACACACACTCCTAAGGATAGTTTAGAGAAACCAATCAACCTGACAGTCGTGTTTATGAACTGTGGGATGGAACCGGGGTTCCTGGCGAGAACCCACACGTGCACAGGGAGAGCTACGCAGAAAGAAAGTGCTGGCCACTGCACCACAGCCCTTAGTTAAATAAGTGAGTTTAACTCAAACGTTTACGTTTGAATGAGGAAAAACACAAAGCATTTATATTAAGAGTTTCCTTTTTTCAAAGTTCCTGATTTTATCACTTGATGAGTTGATTTCTTGGTTTCAAGCGGATTCTGGGAGGATGGGGTTGTTTGTGAAGGATTCTGGGAGGATGGGGTTGTTTGTGAAGGATTCTGGGAGGATGGGGTTGTTTGTGAAGGATTCTGGGAGGATGGGGTTGTTTGTGAAGGATTCTGGGATGATGGGGTTGTTAGTGAAGGATTCTGGGAGGATGGGGTTGTTTGTGAAGGATTCTGGGAGGATGGGGTTGTTTGTGAAGGATTCTGGGAGGATGGGGTTGTTTGTGAAGGATTCTGGGATGATGGGGTTGTTTGTGAAGGATTCTGGGAGGATGGGGTTGTTTGTGAAGGATTCTGGGATGATGGGGTTGTTAGTGAAGGATTCTGGGAGGATGGGGTTGTTTGTGAAGGATTCTGGGAGGATGGGGTTGTTTGTGAAGGATTCTGGGATGATGGGGTTGTTTGTGAAGGATTCTGGGATGATGGGGTTGTTAGTGAAGGATTCTGGGAGGATGGGGTTGTTAGTGAAGGATTCTGGGAGGATGGGGTTGTTTGTGAAGGATTCTGGGAGGATGGGGCTGTTTGTGAAGGATTCTGGGAGGATGGGGTTGTTTGTGAAGGATTCTGGGAGGATGGGGTTGTTTGTGAAGGATTCTGGGAGGATGGGGTTGTTTGTGAAGGATTCTGGGAGGATTTGTTGTGGTGGAAACAGACGCCGGGTCCCACGTTTTGCTAGTACTTCTCGACCTCTCGACCTCGTTTGAGAATTCTGACCCTGATGTGAGAACACTTTGTGGTTGGTGTCAGAGGCGTTCATCTAAACACCTTTATAAATAAAGCTTTGATTGATTGATTGATTGATTAAACTGGTTTAGCTCATATATAACTGACAGATGCTTTGTCCACATAGGCCACTGCTTCTCTCCTTTTGAGCCACTTCCCTGGGGAGTACACCAGGGCTCGATTCTTGGTACACTCCTGTTTTCTATTTACCTTCTCCCCCTTGGCAAAATCCTATTAAAACATGGATTGCATTGCCACCTCTATGCTGATGACTTCTAAATCTACTTGGCTCTGGACCAATCGGGCTCAGTAAATCAGCTCCTTGATGATGGCCTTGCCCCTTGATGCCTCTCAAAGCTGCTCACTCTTAACATTTCCACCCATCCCTTTAGGTCTGCTGGCCAGTGCTTATTTTGTGTCCTGAAGATGCGATGCATATCTCGGGGTGCATGTTTTTTTGCATTTGCTGCCCCAAAATTGTGGAATGCTCTTCCTTTTTGTGTCCGCCAGACTCCATCGCTATCAGACTTTATATTAAACCTAAAGATGTGTCTCCTTTGCTGGTTTTAGTTTTACTCTATAGGCTTGCAGGCTTTGTTTCAGTGATGTCATCTTTATTTTATTGGGTATTTGATCTTGTTTGTGATTTGTCTCATTGGTGCTTATTTTTCTGTTGAACTTTTCCCCGTGCTTAATCTGGTCACTGCCTTGCTCTTGTGCAGCCCTTTGATCAGCTCCCATGCTGATTTTAAACGAGCTCTGTAAATAACCACGGTATAAACGTAAACAAACATGGATTCTAGGAGAATAGTGGGAGGACTAAGAGCGCTGTTTCAGGTTTTACGTGAATCTGATGGATCAGTCAGGTGTTCTGATGTTTCAGAGCTTCTTTAGCTCTGTGTGAGCTGCTGCAGACAAAAACAGACCTACACCTGGTCTCATCCATCCTGAATGACGACCTGATGCCTGCTGACCCCTGTTGACCTCTGATGCCTGCTCTATGTTGCCACCTTCAGGAGAGACATCACATGTTCACCTGTGGTTCTGAGGAGCAGCAGGTTCAGTTGTTTCTGACGGTTTGACATCTCTGTCCCATCAGGTCATGTGACCACGCTGTAACCGTCTGAGTGTGCGGCTCTAACTCTCACATCAGTGTGTGTGTGTGTGTGTGTGTGTGTGTGTGTGTGTGTGTGTGTGTGTGTGTGTGTGTGTGTGTGTTTGCTGTGGTTGCCAATGTTCATTTTGTAGATGCCTGGACACCACACACACACACACACACACACACACACACACACACACACACACACACACACACACACACACACACACACACACACACACACACACACACACACAGAGCATGCACAACGTCTCTGGCCGGCCTCCGACCACCAACCGCCATCCCTTCAGCTCCCTTTTCCTCTCTTGGCCATTTTTTTCTGGGTCCGGAAAACCAGAAGCCTCCTGCGTTGCACAACATCGACCTCCAGCAGCAAGAGGCTCTGAGGGGGTGGTGTGGGGGGTGAACCGCCTTTATTGTCTGCTTCAACTCTGAGCATCACCCTGAGCTTTGATTGGCTTCGGGTGAATCGAACCTGCAGGCCTGTGGGCGGGGCCCCGGGGGCCCAACTTGGAGCATTCAGAAGTCCTTCTGCAGTTTGTGTTCCTGTGGTGCATCATGGGTAATCATCTCCACTTTATTCTGGTCTAGAGGGCCACAAGCATCACAATCCAAGGAGCCGACCGGAAATAAAACTTGTTCAGAGCCACAGTTAATGTTTTTGGTGATTTTAGTGTCGTTCTGCAGGTTTTCATGTATAAACTGAAAATCTTCTTAAACCTTTAAAAACCAGAAATAGCTTTTCATCCATTTTAGCCAAACTTACTTAGGGCCATAGTGGAAGGTCCAAAGGGCCACATGTGGCCCCAGAGCCTCAGGTTACAGACCCCTGGTTCCAGAGGGTTGTTGGTTCTGTTCAGGACCCAGGTTGTTCCCTTCGACGTCGTGATTCCTCGTCCGGACCTGGAGCTTTCTAAAGCTAACTCCTCACCTTCAGACTCCACATGAACCCCGAAACCAGCAGAAGATTAAACCCTGCAGGCTGTTATCTGATTGGATGGTTCAAACACACTTCTGGAGGACCCAAGGCTCATTTAACATGTCAGCGAGCTGGAGGAGGACTTGATGAACCCATCACTTCCGCTTCCGCTTGATAACAAGATGGCGCCTGTGATTGGCTTAGCCGCAGTCACCGGCCACTTTTTCAAACTTTTCTCCACTAACCTCCTCTTTTCCTCCTTGCTCCTGTCTGCTATCCCCTTCAGTAGTGTCCCTGCTACCATCTCCTATGATCACCAGTCTCTTTTGTCCTTCCGTTCGTTCACGATCGCCCAAGATCGCCCTGTTTGTTTATCTGAGTGGCGCACTGGCCCGGAGCCAAACGACGATTCCAACCAGGGCGCCTCCAGCGATGTTTATCCGGTCCCGGGAAAACTTCGGAGGAAAAGAGGTAAACGAGCAGGAATCCAGGTGAGAATAAGACTTCTCTTAAAGCGTGGTTTATCTAGTGAACATCGGTGTGATCTTCTAGCTTCTTGTCCTTTGTTTGGCGACCTGAGCGCCACTTCCGCATTCCCGCCAGGCCGCGTTGCAGCGCGGTTCATCCGTCCAAGTTTGTTAAGGCCGGTTTATCCTCATTCCTCAGTGGTTTCTCCTCCTGTTCCCTCCATAGGTGGTTTTTACAAACACCGTGGATCTAACCCTGCTAATTTACGTCCACTAACTCCAGCTGTTTCTGTAGTTTCTGATTCCTCCACCTCACTCAGCATGGCTCTATTAAACACCCGCTCTGTTAACAATAAGTCTTTCCTGCTCAATGATCTAATTCTCTCTAAAAACTTGGATTTTCTCTTTCTGACTGAAGTTTGGCAGCAAACATCTGATTATTCTGGTCTGATTGAACTTTGCCCGAGTGGTTATTCTTTTCTTAGCCAGCCCCGGGGTTCTGGTCGTGGTGGAGGCCTAGCAGTTGTTTTCAGAGACCATCTTCCATGTAGCTCTACAACCTCTGGTCACTTTGCTTCCTTTGAACTGCAGCTGATTAAAGTCGGGCGTAAGGACCCGTTCTACTGTGCTGTGGTCTATCGTCCACCTGGTCCAAATAGTTCTTTCCTTCAGGAGTTTAGTGACTTTCTATCCTCCACTGTGAAGCTGTCCAGACTGGTGATTGTTGGTGACTTTAACATCTACGTTGATGATCCCACTGATCACTTTGCCATGAGTTTCTCCAGCCTTATGGACTCCTTCAGCTTTACCCAGCATGTTTCTGGCCCCACACACACCAGGGGGCACACTCTAGACCTTGTTTTTACCCTGAGTCTAAATGCGGACAGTGTTTGTCCTGAGGACGTTTATATTTCAGATCACCATTGCATTTTCTTTAACTTGTCAGTGTCTGCGTCCCCACCTCCTGCTCGCCGTATGGTTAGTTCTCGTTTTCTTAATGAGAGCACAGCTAGCAATTTTTCTGCTGCTTTTGATCCACCCTGTTCTTCTGATAACGACCCAGATTCCTTAACTTCTCCGTTTAACGAGCACTGCCTCTCCATTCTGGACAACATCTGTCCTGTCAGAACCAGATCAGTTCCTGCAGTGAACCCTACTTCCTGGTTTAATGACATCCTTTGCAGCCTGAAGCGCCAATGCAGAAAAATTGAGCGTTTGTGGAAGAAAACCCATCTCCTCGTCCATCTGCTGCACCTAAAGGATCTTCTGTCATCTTTTAACTCTGCAGTCAGGGTTTCCTATTTCTCCAACCTGGTGTCCCAGAGCAGAGGGAACCCCAAGGTGCTGTTTAACACCATCAGCAGCATCGTCTCTCCTGCCTCTCCTACAGCCTCCATCCACTCTGTTACAGACTGTGAGAACTTTCTGTCTTTCTTTGTGGACAAAGTCAATAAGGTCAGATCTAGCATCTCTCCTTCAGCCTTATCGCCGTCTCTCCCGACTCCAACCAGGCCCATCATCCTAGATAGCTTTGCTCCTGTTTCTTTGCCTGAGTTAACCAAACTAGTTAACTCTATGAAGACCTCTGCATGCCCCCTCCACATCTTACCCTCATCTTTGTTTAAAAGTGCTTTTCAGTCCATCGGTCCCAGCGTGCTCTCTATAATTAATGCTTCTCTGGTTTCTGGTCAGGTCCCTGCTTACTTTAAGAACGCTGTAATCCACCCGCTTCTTAAAAAACCGATTCTGGACGCCTCTCTCCATAGCAGCTTCAGACCCATCTCTAAACTTCCGTTCATCTCCAAGATCTTGGAAAAGGTTGTGGCTGAAAAACTCACAGCTGCTCTTGATGAACATAACATCTATGATAGCTTCCAGTCAGGTTTTCGTAGAGCTCATTCTACTGAAACCGCTCTTCTTAGGGTCTCTAATGACCTTCTGACCCACAGTGATGCAGGGGACTGTTCTGTTCTGGTCCTGTTGGACCTGACTGCAGCCTTTGACACTGTTGACCATCACCTGCTACTGGAGAGACTCAGAGACTGGGTAGGCCTATCAGGATCTGCTCTGGAGTGGTTCTCCTCTTATCTCTCTGAGCGCTCCTTTTCTGTGGCCGTCTCCAAGTTTAGGTCCTCCACCACCTCTCTTACCCATGGTGTCCCACAAGGTTCTGTGCTGGGGCCTCTGCTCTTCCTCCTCTATCTGCTTCCTCTTCAGCACATCCTGAGCTCCTTCAAAGGAATCTCCTACCATCTTTATGCAGATGACATCCAACTGTACATCTCCTTTAAGCCCCATGAGATGTCTAAGCTGCAGCTGTTACACACCTGCTTAGACTCTATCAAAACCTGGATGGTGGGAGCTTTCTTCAGCTGAATGAAGATAAGACTGAGATCCTCATCTGTGCCCCAGACAAGCTGGTTCCCAAAGTCAGAGACTCTCTTGGTCGGCTTGCTTCTCACACCAAACCTTCTGTCAGGAATCTTGGCGTGACCTTTGACCCAGCTCTCACCCTGGATTCTCATGTCAGTTCTCTTGTTCGCTCTTCCTTCTTCCATCTCAGGAACGTTGCTAAGCTGAGTCCCATTCTGTCCCGCTCTGAACTTGAGACAGTTCTCCACTCCTTCATCTCCTCACGCTTAGACTACTGTAACTCTCTTTTCACGTGTCTGAGCAGAACCTCCCTGAACCGTCTACAGGTGGTTCAGAACGCCTGTGCTCGGCTTCTGACCAAGTCCTCCAAACACACCCACATCACCCCGCTTCTCCTCCAGCTTCACTGGCTGCCAGTCAACTTCAGGGTTCATTTCAAGATCCTGGTTCTGGTCTATAGGGCCTTACATGGACAAGCACCATCTTACACTGGTGATCTTCTTAGTCCCTACACCCCCAGCAGGTCCCTGAGGTCCAGTGATCAAAGCCTACTGGTTGTGCAGCACCAGGCTAAAGGTCAAAGGTGACAGATCATCTGCTGATGTGGCCCCCAGACTCTGGACCTCTCTCCCCCTGAGCCTGAGATCAGTGGACTCAGTGGTCTCCTTTAAAAAGCAGCTGAAGACTCACTTGTTCAAGCTGGCTTTTGTATGACCTTCTTCACCTCTCTCTCTTTATTCTGCTCTCCCCACCTATTCCACCTTCCTCAGGATCCACTGGTTTCCCTCTTTCCTGTTCACTCTCTCTCTTTCTTAACATTTTTTTACTCACAATTGTCTATTTTTGCTCATTTTAAATATCTTTTTAAACATTTTCTAAATTCTTTTTTATATTTTTACATTTTTGTTTTTGTGAAGCGCCTCGTGATTTTTATCTTGAGAGGTGCTATAGAAATGATATTTTCTTCTTCTTCTTCAATGAGAGAACATTGAGTTCACAAACATGTTTGTGTTTATGAAGAAATAAACAAACAACAGCTGATACCTTCTGAAGGCTCTTGTCTCATCAAAAACATTTATTTCTGATTTATAAACAAAAGTTCTTTTCAGACTGAAGAACCTGCAGGACCTGAACATCTGGAAAAACCTGAGACAAAAACATCTGGACTCAGCTGGGATTGAAGAATAAACTGAGAGTGACGAGGTGGAGGCAGCTGGAAGAGGGTCGGCGGTGGTTCATGGTATTAAATACGCCATCATCAATGGAACCCTGATGCTTGGAGTCACCATGGCAACCGCAGATAAGATGATGCAGCAAGTGTTCATCAAGGAAGTAGAAGACGACACGCGTCAGCGGCCCGAGTCTGAAACATAAATCTGTTCTGACATCGACTCGTCCGCATGTTGATGAGAACGAGTTGGACTGAACTCATCAGGAGGAAAATGGACCTGGAGCAGATTTGATGGAGTCTGTTGCCACGGTGATAGATATAGATACACCCCCCTCTCCACAGGGAGGAGCTAGTATCTGATTGGTCGACTCACTACTTCATCTTCCTCTTGCTGGTCACCTTACGATTTCTGGTCTGGATTTCTTCTCTCTTTAAGATCAGAGGCCTTCGGACCTGCAGACAGCGAAGTCAGTACCAGAACACAGAGTACTACAGTATTAGTACCTGTAGTAACTCTGGCTCACAGGACGTAGCGAGTACCTGGTGTAGTTTGTAGTACAGCCCACAGGCGTTGCAGACGGGTTCTCCAGCAGCGCTCCTTCTCCACAGACTCGTGTTTTCCGTCTCACAGTTTGAACAACGAGTTCCGCTCCTCCTCGTCACCGTCTGGAACCACAGAGACCCTCTCATGAGCAAACACAGAGTGTATCCGTGTGTGTTATGTGTGAGTACTTATTTGTGTGTATTGTGTATTTGCAGGCGATCTCACAGATCTCCTCTTTGGTTTCAACAGCGGTGCATCGTGGTCCTCCTGCTGGTGGAGGCTGCAGGTGTAACACAGGTGTTCACTTCTCCACAGGGAGGCGCTGTTCATCCTGCAGCTAACACACTCTCGCTGCTCTACACACACACACACACACACACACACACACACACACACACACACACACACACACACACACACCCACACACACACACGAACAAGGCTTTGAATCTCTAAGAAGCAGAATAAATGTTCACCTGTCCCAGAAGCCCTGATTCACTCTAACCCTAAACCAGCCTCGCTGTGAAAAGAGCTGCTTCCTGATTGGTTAGTTTGAACCAGAGGCCTCAGGCACTGGAGACTGGAGGAAGGGCTCCACATTATGACGTTTCTATGAGAGGTTTCTCAGAAAAGAAGCTTTTCTCTGGCTTTTTAAAACTTTCTCATTTACATAAAAAGTAGGTCACACACGGATTTGACTCTTTGGCGAGCTGCTTTTGACCAGCAGAGCGGTCTTTACTCACAAACAACAAGAACATGTTGGTTTAGATTCTTTGTCCCCTTTAGCCCCTAGAGGGGCGAAGAAAACATGACAGGAAAACAGTCACCTGGGGGACACCTGGCAGGTGACGTCCAATCACCTGCAGAGGACGGAGGAGTGAACGGGTTGCCATAGAAACTGCCTAATCCAGGTGCTGAACAGGTAAGTGATTTGGGGGGTGGAGCCAGCTCGTGTAAGGATGGCGAGGGAGGCGGCAGGATGTAGGCAGAGCTGAATGACTGACAGCTGAGATCTTCCAACCAGGGAGAGCGATCCAGGAGCGGCAAGCTGGTATCAGCTGGCAGCTGGCAGCGAGACTGGAGGAGTGATTCTGAAGGGGCGGAGCCAACCTGGAAGAGAGACCAGAAACACAAACCTGATGCAGCAGGTTTCCTGTTTGCTTCAGAATAAAATGGATTTTAGGTTCCACTGACGTTCGAGCCTGAATAACATTTTAGACATTTTTTAAACAGAAATATTGTTTATTGTGGGGAAATGCAGCAGATGGAGGTAAAGAACTCCACAAAAGGTAAAAGACAAACAGGAGAACAAGACAGCTGAGGCCTCCACAGAGAAAGGAGCGTCCGCCGCTCTCCAGAAGATCCCAGGCTCTTCAGCAGATCCTGCTCTGTCCAGTTCATATTTGGTTAAAACAACATCAGCAGAACAAAGTATGTTTTAGACTCTGACCTTTGCAATGAAACCCGATGATGTTTCACACCCGGTGTCCAGAAAAGTTGTGGACCAGTCAGCTGCCAGGGAATAGTCGGCCATGTTCCCGTTGATCCGAGAAGACGGAGCGAGAGCCCTCTCTGACGTCTGAGGAGCTTTCAGAGGAAACTCAGATCTGCTCAGGGTTCGAGGTTTTTCCCCTGAATGAAGACGAGTCTGCTCTGGGGAAGGGGTTGGGGGTCACCAGGAGGAAGAGGAGGGGCATCAGGAGAAGGAGGGGTAGTCTGGCTCCTCCCACAAACCCTTAGCCCACGTTTTCAGGTTTTTTATGATCCGAATCAGCTCTTTGTTACAAGATTGGTTTTACTACAGAAACAAGGAAGATCTGGATCAGAACCAAAGGAACGAGGAGCTGAAGTTCTGTTGTTCTGATGATTAGAGATCAGGTGAGGAGATCCACCACCTGTTCCTCCTCCTCACTGAGAGGAGCTCCCAGATCAGACCCAGAACACACGCATGTGTAAACAGACAGGAAGAACAAGAAACGGCAATAAAAGTTTCCAGGTCTTAAATAGAAATGTTTATTCTTCTTCTTCACTTCGGTTAAATGCAAAAGTTCAGACTCGTCTGTTTCAGAGACAGGAGGCGTGAGGCTGCAGCAGCAAAGGGTCCACCACGCTCTTCTGCAGGGGCATGTCTAAAGAGAAATCAGTGGGCGGAGCCTGATGACGCTGGCGAGGGGGGTGGCCCCCCCTGTGAGGAATGGGAAGCTCCGAGTGGTGAGCAGGAAGAGGAGGGGTGAAGAAATATGGATGAAGAAGAGCCTGCAGGGGGAGGAGCCAAACATCACCATCAGTTACTGATCAGGTACACCTGTCCCTTTGCTACGTCCTCTGCACGAGTCCTACCTGTTTGGCGGAACAGCGCTGTCTGGACGGGTACACCAGGAACCTGTACAGCAGGTCGATGGCCTGAGGGGGCGTGTCTGGAACAATCTCCTCCAATGGGATGGCTGGATTCTCCTTGAAGGTGATTTTATTGTAATCTGGAAGCTCAGCGATCTCCTGCAGATGGAGAACAAAAACCCGGTTCTAGTCTCACCTGGCAGCTGACGCCGTTAGAGCCAACCAACAAAAGTGCAGCTTGTCTACATCGTATCTGGTATGGTGGACCCTGAGCCAACGGACGATGGGAGCCTGCAGACCTGGTTCTGTTGGGAGTAACTGTTATATGGGACATGTCTTACAGGCCAGCTGTCCCGGGTCGGCGTTCCCAGAACTCTGAGGACGCAACACAGCTGCTCGATGTCGTTTTCTCCAGGAAACAGAGGAGACGAGTTCAGCAGCTCCCCGAAAATACACCCGACAGCCCTGAAACACAGAGAGGCGTGAGCGCTGCCCTCTGCTGCTCAGCTCACAGCACTGTCACTGTGGACTCAGCCCCTGAGCAAGGCAGCAATAGCACCAGCAGCAGGGTTTCACTCTCACCACAGATCCACTCCTTCATCGTACTTCCGGGCTCCGTAGAGCAGCTCAGGAGCTCGGTACCACCTGAAAACACACACACACACACACACACACACACACACACACACACATACACACACACACACACACACACACACACACACACACACACACACACACACACACACACACACACACAAGACAAAACAATTTTTTTCTCTATTTCCTGCAGATCAAAAATTTTAATTTTCATCTTCAATCAACTAATTTTTTGTGTGACCGAGCTGTGAAAAAGGGGCGGAGCTTGTGCTTACCTGGTGGCTACCTGGTGGCTGTAAAGCCTCTCGCCTTGATCGCTGAACAGCCTGGCGAGACCGAAATCGGCGATCTTTAGGTGACCCGAGGAGCTGATGAGCAGGTTAGCTGGCTTCAGGTCCTACACACACACACACACACACACACACACACACACACACACACACACACACACACACACACACACACACACCAGAACCAGAATCACAAACCCTTATGGGCCGTGGACTGTGTGTGTGGGTGTGTGTGTGTGTGTGTGTGTGTGTGTGTGTGTGTGTGTGTGCGTGTGTGTGAGCAGTGCACTCACCCGGTGCATGATGTTATTGCGATGCAGGAAGGCCACGCCCTTTAGCAGCATCATCATGTACCCCTTGACCTGTGCCGGGGTCAGAGGTCGCTGGTGGTTCCTGATGACCTCAGAGAGGTCCGACAGCATGAAGTCAAAGACCAGAACAAAGCCCGTCCCGTGGGGAAAGACGTCCTTCAGCTTCACAACCTGGAAGAGTTCAGGACAACGTTCCCAAAAGGAAGATTGAATCATTCCCAACAAAACATCTGCAGGTTTTTTTTATCAAAGCAGCTGAAGCTGAGCACCGAGTGTCCACCAGGTGTGGTGCTGTAATGGAACCAGATTTCTGCTCAGACTTAAAACCAACAGCAGATCTGGGCAACCAGGCACTTACCAGCCCCCCAGATCTCTGTGATGCTCCTCCTCGTCTCCTCAGAAGGAGGAATAGAGAACGTAAAATCATGGAAATCTGTTAATTTGGCAAATAGCTTTGTGAGGAATGGCCTGCAGATCAGGTGGATTCAGGACTGTGGTTCTGACACCATCACGAACACCAGTTTGTGGCATTTCAGTAGCATCAGGTCTGACACCTCGCTGTCCTCTGAACTGGGCAGAAGCAGCTGGAGGGACACTCACATACTGGTTGTCCTCAATCTCCTGCAGGGCCTTGATCTCCCTCAGAGCCTGGTTCGGGATGCCGTCTTCCAGCCTCCTCAGAGCCACTTTCTTCAGAGCCACCGTCTCTCCTGTCTGAGAGAAAAGGCACAAGACGAACATTCTGAGGAGGAACTGCTCTGCACCTGGAACCAGACCCAGAGGCTGGATCTTTTGCTATCGGTACCTCAATGTGTTTGGCCTTGAACACAATGCCGTGAGCTCCTTCTCCGATCCGACCCAGGATGCTGTACTGCTCCATGTCTGGGACAAGAACCTGATCCGGTCTGCTGATTTCTGCAGGAAGACCAATTTTTCATCTGATTCCACATTAAAACTTCAAGCTGTAACATTAAACTAAATAAGATATAGGTGAACTCTTTTTGAGAAAGAAAACACCTCCCAGAGCTTCTTTTACCTCCTCCAGCTGACCGACAGGAGCCAGAATTCAGACCGGAAACAAAGCTCCGTGTACAAAAGACGCCGTTTACGATTTTGCGCGTTTCAGTTCAATAAAACACCAACGTTTCTGAAATATTACGGAACGATAACTGAAATAAAAGTCGTAAGTTTTATTCGGGTTCTGAGATTATACATAAATCAGCTCGATTTCAATTGGATCCGAATTTTACAGAGGATGCTAACTCGTGTTGCCATGGTAACGTCACCACTAAGCTAAGTTAGCTCCTATGGCTTAATGAAACCGTCGAAATAATTTCAATTCGAGCAGAAATGTTTCCTGATAGTCGTTCAAGCCTGAAAGCGCGGCGAGGAGATCCGGTTTTCGGGCCTGAAACGTTTGAAAACGTTTTGTTTCAGACAAGAGCTGCGTTAGCTACGGTCACGTGACAACGGAAGTCACGACACAGATCCAAATCAGCTAGAAAAGACTCACATGTCAGTCAGAAGTGAAAATTAAATAAATAAATCATATATATATATATATATATATATATATATATATATATATATATATATATATATATATATATATATATATATATATATATATATATATATATAATATATATATATATATATATATATATATATATATGTATGGGGTTATGACATGAATGTGTATATAGGTTTTATGGGTTTTACAAATGTGTAATTTGGATGTGTTTTTAGAATTTAGAGATTTTAGTGCCGGCTGCTTCACAATGCTGTCTCGAATTGCCCCTCGGGGACTAATAAAGTTGTCTTGAGTCTTGATATATATATATATATACAATTTATGTTTATTTTGTTGTTTAACAGCAGGAGTTTCTTGTAATTTAGGTCTAGTTTTTTCCCCAGCTACTTTAGTAATTTCTACCAGAAACCCTACAATAGACAACTGTAAACATAATTGAAAGGCTTCGGCAGCTGAGTCTGAAGTCCCAAAGACTTTGAAAGGTATAAGAAAAGTTTATTATTCAGACTTTGTTACTAAATTAAGGAGGTCAAAATAAATAGATCTTTGTTCAAATTTTATCAGCTACTCAATGCTAGTACTTTAAATATTGTTTTGCTCCCATTAATGGGTTTACGGCAGTTTTCTTATATTGTTTTGGCCAACTTTTGTTTTAGTTTATGTGCAATTTTCCTAAAGACTTTCATTTTAAAACAGAATTTAGAAATTTATCAGTAAGCTGGTAATTGATCTATCAGCTTGAGTTTCTAGTCTGATCAAACAAAAACTGTTTTATAGCTAGTGTTAAAGTAATCAAATAAAAATAATGCTATTTTTTTTTTTTATATTTCAGGCATATAAAATGAGCGCCAGACCAGTATCCACCCAGTCTGGAGCGTCCTCGTCTAATGCATCTATCTGTTTTATGTCTACATGCTTTATTTTGAAAATTTGGGGGCACTCAATGATTTAGTTCCGGTGTAAAGAATTATTTACATGCTAGCTTGGCATGCTAGCTGTGCTAACGGCACGTTTTTGTGTCCGAAACGGTTAATTTACATTGAGCAGAAATTCATCTGAACTGAATTAATCCGCATGAAGTTATTATTGTTGTTATTAATCTGAAAAGCCGCATGGAGGAACCTGTCGCTGAAAACGTGGACCGGAAGGTTCTGCAGTACGAAACGTTCATCAACGAGGTTCTGAAGAGAGATTTACGGTACGATTTAACTCGTATAGTTGATTTAGTTTCTCAGCTCTGCTCCTCTGTTTGGTTTTGAATTCTGAGTAGTTTCACAGATTCTGGTTTAGTTAGGGCAGGGTTGGTAGCTCTAGCTTGAAGCAGGTAAATAAAAGTTGGTGCTGGGTTCTGATGAATCTAAGCAGTTTCCGGTTAAGTTTTGATGCGATGTTTATGTCTCTACAGACACGATCATTATAGTACAGGTTAAGTTCTTTAAACGTAAATCATAAAGTTGTATTAAACACATTTGTGACAATCACTATGACCAGTGACTGGTACCTGGTTACCATGGCAGCCCCCCAGAGGGCGGGGTCTATCCGGCTAGAGAAGTTGACGCTTCATCTGAGCGACCAGAACAAAAGTCAAACTGCGGTGGTGAGTCCACAGAGTCGGATGATGTTCTGGTCTGTGGAATCAGAACCAACCAAAAAGATCCAGTGAAGGAGAACCAGAGAGTGGGTCCTGGAGAACCACGGATCCCTGGTGTGGTTCTTATCCAATAGAACAGTCAGAAAATGATTGCAAACTCATTTCAAATACTCTATTTTGACACCTCACACACACACACACACACACACACACACACACACACACACACACACACACACACACACACACACACACACACACACACTGATGAAGGTGTTCTGTTTGACAGGAAGGTGTTGGAGCAGAGAGACCAGGTTTATGAGAAGATCTCTCAGTACCTGCAGCTGAAGAACACGATCCAGAGTCTGCAGGTAGTGTGTGTGTGTGTGTGTGTGTGTGTGTGTGTGTGTGTGTGTGTGTGTGTGTGAGAGAGAGAGAGATTTTAAGGAGGGAGGCATCACTCTGGGAGGATCATAGGGCCTCCTCTAGGATTTTTTTCAGTTGTTTGAAATATTTTCAGCTAACATCCGCCATGTTTTAATCTCTGGAAACCTTTTAACTGCTGATGAAAATCCAGCGGAGCTGTGTGTTCTGGATCAGGAGTTCTGTTCAGGCCCGATCCAACAACAGACCAGTAACCTGAGCTCTTTAGGCCTCGTGCTGTCAATCAGAAACGCCTGTTTGTTTGTGATAGAATTTTGTGTGTGTGTATATATTTATATATGTTTATATCATGATGATGACGTTGCGGTTATGTCACTCCGTGTTCTTGCAGGAGGCGGAGTCCCAGCAGCTGAAGACAGATGTCGATCTGGGCTGCAGCTTCTATGTTCAGGCTCAAGTGTGAGTGTCTGTCTCTCTAGAGTGTCCAGCTCCTCCCTCCACAGACATTTAACCTCTTTTAGATGTTTGGTTCTGGTTCTGAGCAGTTTGGTTGTGTTTGGTCCCGGTTCTGACCCGTTGTTCCCCTCCTTTGGACAGAGACGACTCGTCCAGGATCTTTGTGGCGGTCGGTTTCGGGTTCTTCGTGGAAATGACCCACGATGAAGCTCTGCAGTTCATCACCAAGAAGACGAGTCAGCTGACAGTGTGAGCTCTGTGTTGCCGTGACAACACAAACTTTTTGTCACACGTCTCATTTTTGTCGAGCTGAGATCTAGTTCTAAATAAAGTTGAGGGAGTTTGAACGAGTGCTGTGTTAGCTCAATGTTCGGAACCAAAGATGCTAACCATGCTAACGCTTGTTTTGCAGCTTCACAGAGCAACTCACTAAAGATGCCGCCAAAATAAAAGCCAACATCCGCATGGTCCTTGAGGTCAGTTATTATGTTTATGATCTGAAGCTCTTTAATATTTGATTTGAGTTTTTCTGCTGAGTGTTTGATCTTCTATAAGTCAAAGCGAGTCAGAGACTCGGTAAGATCTGAAGTAGAGCCGGTCCGGTAGCGTCGAGGTGAGTTGGTGCTGATGGAGAGGGACGTTCTCCTCTAAAATCAGATGTGTTCATCGTGGAACCACGGAGAACCCTGATCCTCCAGATGAGGTGTCTGATTGGCTGCTATCTTCTTCCTCTGCCTTCAGGGTTTGCGGGAGCTGCAGGGACTCACCGACCTTCCCGAGAGCCAAAGAAGAGACGTCTTCTAGACTTTTCCTGGTTCTGGGCAGCAGGTGCTGCTAGGGCTGGACCTCCGGGGGAGGAGGAAACTCTTCTTCCTGGGAGGAGCTTTGTAGACAGCGTGTGGACGTGTAGCAGGACGAAGGTCTCCTCAGATGTTTGAAGAACATCACAGCAGTCATGAGTCTTTCCTGATTAAAATACTAAACTGAAGTTCATGTATTTTCATTTTTTCATTCATATTTTATTAATAATGAGGTTTTTAGTTTGGATTTGTTTTATTTATGTCAAACTTTAGTTTTTGTGTATATTTTTTATTGGATGTAGTTCTACTTTAGTTCTTTCTGGGATTTATTGTAATAAAATAATATCATATATTTTAGGCTTAAATGGGTAAAAGTTGTTGGTTGTTTATTTGCCAACATTTCATTTCCTGATGAATAAAATCATTCACACATTCTTCTTATAATAAATAATATTTTTAAACCTAAAAAGTGTTATTTGTCTTTTTGAACAAGCTGATTTAGATTTAAAGTGAACTTTTTTTGTTATTTTTAAGATCTTTTCCCGGTGTTATGGTTTATTTGTCTCTCAAAACCAAATATAAACTTTTGAAAGGAATTTGTCGGAATGTTCCCGAGGAACGCTGAGACGTTTAGCGGGTTTGTTGCGTTGGAAGATCGGGAACGTGCTCGAAGAGTCATGCGTGACCAGCACGTGTTAGCTCTGTGAGGCTGACGGGTGGTCAGCTGCACGAGCTCGTCAGCTTTCACGACCTTCATCCGGTGTGATGAATATCAGCTGCTCGCACAGAAGCTCGACGACGCAGAGCCTGTTTCCATGACAACGAGCTGCCGAATAGAGGTGCTGAGAGACTCTTGAAACTGAATCAGAGAAAGAAAGGAGCATCTTTTGTGTTCAGTTTGCTGCTCGGATCCAGAATCCAGCTTTTATTTCCCTGAAACACAGAAACACGTCTGAGAATGAGTCCTTTTATTCTGATAAGTACCTCTACCTGCACAACAACAGCAGCAATGACTAATATTATTATTATTAATGTTATTTGTGATGATGTGTCTGACATTCATCAGGTTTGCTTCATCTTTGCTTATAGAGTTCATATCTTCCTGGTTTTGGAATTTTAAAAAGTCTGATTTTCTAAACTTTTCACTTGTTATTAATTTACTTTGGTGTTATAAAATAATTTGAACGCTTGAAATTATAATGCTATTCCTTTCATAATAAAATGTCTTCTTTTACGGTCTTCATAAATATTTATTTTAGAGGTGTTTCGTTTGAGGGGGGATTATTTAATTAAATAATTTATTTATCCATTCATTTATTCCTTCCTGGGTTGAACTTCTGCCCAGATGTGATGTGATGGGTGAGGAGCAGACGTGGCCCAGATGTTCCTCTGATGAGCCTCACATGAATGCTGCTTCATCCTTCTCGTTTCTGGGTTTTATTTTCGTCCTTCAACGAGATGTGGTCTTATTTTGAAAAGGCTCAATACCTTGCTCTGCGGCTCTTCGGCAGCAGCAATAATTGACATCATATATTGCAGCGATGACGTCTCCATCCTGTTACCGCAGAAACAGCACTCCATCAAGTTTAAAGAAAACCTGGAAATCCAAAACAGTGTGCAACAATTTCTCTTCAAAATAAAAGCCTAAAAGTCACGTTTGAATCATTCTGATGGAGTTGGTTTTGAGAGACGTTTTTGGGGTTCCCTGCTCACTAACATCTGCTCTAACCAGGGGTTTACCAATGTTTTGTGAGCAATAAGACATGTTTGCCAGTGTGGAGTCCCGTCGGGTCAGTTGGTTCTTCGGTGTGATTTCCTCTCCCAGAGAGCCTGAATGTAGTTTGAAGGGCGCAATCCCAAATTGTACTGAATAATTCCCATCTGGATAGATCTGTTAATCTGTGACTGGATCAGCACCTGGTCTGAACAACGTGTTGAGTTTTTCAAACAGTTCCAGACCTGGATTGGAGCTAGAATCATTCCTTAAAAAATCACAGCTCCCGTCTTCTCACCTGCACCAGCCATGGTGGTTGTAAGCGTTTAATAGTTGCAGCTAAATATTGGGAATAACAGCAGAACGTTAGTCGATAGGTGTAAACTCCTGGAAACTATAACTCAGATTTGTTCATTTATCAGAGGAATGGCCCATTTGTTAACAGTGAAGGGGCGTGGCCTAAAGTCCAACCACTAGGGGTTGCTCAAAATGTTTTAATACGGTACGAAGTTAATTAATTTCAGTAATTATTTAAAAGATAAAACTAATGACATGACACTCGTTACATGCAAAGTGGGACCTTTCAACCCTATATTTGTTAGAATTGTGATTATTATGGCTTACAACACCTCTACCCCAAATTTAAAATCTCAGTAAAATGAGTTTAAATCAATAAAACCCTGATTGTTTTTACAGAAGGGCTGACAAAGCATTATCATGCATTTATACTAAAGACTTTGTTTGGGCTCCCTTTTCCCGTTACTGAAATAAATTAAATTTTGTGCAATGTTTTCATTTTTTGAGTTTCACCCATAGATTCTCCAAATCAAGAGTGTAACCTGTTTTGGTAAAACAAACAAACAAAAATGGTAAATGGCCTGCATTTGAAATAGCGCCTTCTAGAGTCCTGGAACCCCCCAAGGCACTTTACAACACAATCAGTGATTCACCCATTCACATGCTGGTGGGGATGCTCTATGATGTAACCACAGATGCCCTGGGTCACACTGACAGAGGTGACAAAACAAGTACAAATTAATGGTAAATGGCTTGCACTTACAGATTCTTACAGCCCCCAAGGCGCTTTATAACATATTAGTGATTCACCTATTCACACCCTGAAAAGAATAATTAAAAGAATAAAGTTTATCTAATTGTCGTTTTTTTTATTTTGTGAGATTTAGCACCAAACCAGCTCCATGGTTCTTTTTTATTTATTAACCTCTAACCTGTATCCTAACAGCTGTTATAAAGTCTGTGTGCTTCACAATGACTGCTAACTGAACGTTTTATTTTGAAAGTCCCTACCGGAAGCGCGCCGGTTTAAACCGCCGTTACTTTGACCGTGAAGAAGAGAAGTGAAGAGGAGTAAACAGGAACAAACTGTGAAAACTCTCTGAAGTTCGGTCGGTCACTCCGAACCCGGTCCACAAACATCTGGACGGACCCCACGGACTACTTTTCCTCCGTCGCGGAGAACTGTGCTCGGCCCCGCGGAACTCTAGGGCGCGTATCCGCAGTGAGCAGCGTTGTTTCGGGACTGACGCAGCAGGAGAGGCGGGGGCAGCGGGCTAGGCTAGGCTAGGCTAGCTGCTGCTGCTCTCGCTGGACCTTGAACTTGTTGAAACTTTTTAAAAGCCACCAGCAGCCGATTGTTCAGACACTCGCACTGAAAACCGACGAGAGGATAAGGATAAGGAAGTTTTTTTTATTTTTTTATTTCTCCGGATAAAGGATTTAATCCCGGAGAGCAGCAGGTTTGTTAGCGGATGAAACGTTTCGGTTCACTTTATTCCGCTGACGCCGAGCGCCTTCTCAGCCCCTGGGTGTGAGTTCCGGTGGACTGGTGGAACATCATCGTTTCCGGTGGTGTGGCCGTGCTTTGTGCACGCTTTGGGTCTGGATTTTGGTTCTGTCCGTGTTAGCATGGAGCCTGGCAGCGGCAGCTCGGAGCGGTTACATAACGCCTGCAGGTCGGGAGAGAAGCTGCTGAACGTCTCCTCCTCCTCCTCCCCCTCAGCTCCACAGTGACAGCTCCGCACACAAACACACAACAACAACAACACAACCCCAAGGAGGAGAATACACAGCAGCATGGAGGAGGTGTGAGTTCATAGGCAGGACCAGAACCGGGACTAAACATGGAGACCAACCCGCTCATTAACGGTGAGAGCTTTTCTCTCTCTGTGTGTGTGTGTGTGTGTGTGTGTGTGTGTGAGAGAGAGAAGGAGAGAGTGAGTGCGTGCGCTCGCAGGTAGCAACAGGTGTGTGAAGCTGCTTGAAGGCGGCCTGCAGCTGCGTTCGATGTTCGGGCTCGTTTGGACCGGAAAGGTTTTATTCTGCTGCTTGTTGAAACCTGTAAAACCCTCAGTCCTGGTCCATAGTCCTGATCTTCATTCCTGATCCCCAGTCCTGGTCCATAGTCCCGATCGGTTCTGATCCATAGTCCTGATCTTCATTCCGGATCCCCAGTCCTGGTCCATAGTCCCGATCGGTTCTGATCCATAGTCCTGATCTTCATTCCTGATCCCCAGTCCTGGTCCATAGTCCCGATCGGTTCTGATCCATAGTCCTGATCTTCATTCCGGATCCCCAGTCCTGGTCCATAGTCCCGATCGGTTCTGATCCATAGTCCTGATCTTCATTCCGGATCCCCAGTCCTGGTCCATAGTCCCGATCGGTTCTGATCCATAGTCCTGATCTTCATTCCGGATCCCCAGTCCTGGTCCATAGTCCCGATCGGTTCTGATCCATAGTCCTGATCTTCATTCCTGATCCCCAGTCCTGGTCCATAGTCCCGATCGGTTCTGATCCATAGTCCTGATCTTCATTCCGGATCCCCAGTCCTGGTCCATAGTCCCGATCGGTTCTGATCCATAGTCCTGATCTTCATTCCTGATCCCCAGTCCTGGTCCATAGTCCCGATCGGTTCTGATCCATAGTCCTGATCTTCATTCCGGATCCCCAGTCCTGGTCCATAGTCCCGATCGGTTCTGATCCATAGTCCTGATCTTCATTCCGGATCCCCAGTCCTGGTCCATAGTCCCGATCGGTTCTGATCCATAGTCCTGATCTTCATTCCGGATCCCCAGTCCTGGTCCATAGTCCCGATCGGTTCTGATCCATAGTCCTGATCTTCATTCCGGATCCCCAGTCCTGGTCCATAGTCCTGATCGGTTCTGATCCATAGTCCTGATCTTCATTCCTGATCCCTAGTCCCGATCCCCAGTCCTGATCGGTTCTGATCCATAGTCCTGATCCATAGTCCCGATCCCCAGTCTCTGCAGGTCTAGAAGCGGATTCTTGTCCATCCTTTATTGTTTATTTTTGTGAACTCTTCCCCGCCACCTCTTCCTTTCTTCTCCGCCCCTTTCTCTTTCATTTCTGTCTCCGTTGGGATTTAAAACAACCAGAAGCATTTCTACTGACGTTTTGATATCAGGCGGGGCAGTTTAGCTGCTCCACCTGTGAGTAAAACTCCAGACTGCAGCACCTCTCTCACGCCTGAAGCATCTCGAGCATCAGAACGTCCTACGTGTTCTCCACACCAAAACGTTCCAGATCGTCAATGAGAGCTGGGTTAGGTTTTCCTGCTGGACCGTTTCCTCGTGGCTGATCAGAACATCAGAACGTGTTTCATCATCTGTTTCTTTATAAACGTTAGCTGCTTGATGCTGCTGGTTCAGGTGTGGGTTCCTGCTGCACCATAGAACCTGCAGGAAGTCGACTTCCTTCCTGGTGAGGTGTTGGCTCAGTTAAGGCCTGTCTGTCAGGTCCGATCAGGTCGGGTCACACTGCTGTGGTTGAGGATGGTGCGCTGAATGCTGATCGGGTGTCTGAACCAGAGTGACGAGTTACAGATTGACACTGACTCAACTCGTCCATCTGGAACATAAATGTCTCCACTTGTCCTCAGTGAGAGGACAAACCCTCAGACACTTTCTAGTCGGTGATGTAATTCTGACACGTTGCCGTGGCGATGCTGATGCACTGAACTGTTCAGTGAGATGAGATGTGTGAGCCATCATCCTGACAGATGGGGAGTGAAAGTAGTCTGATTACTGTACCATCACGTGTTTTGTAGATTTGGAGAAGGTGTTTGACCACGCCCCAGGGAGGGGGGGAGGGGGGTATTCCTGGAGTATGGGGCACCAGGCCCTCTGCTGTTAGGTCCCTGTATGACCGGTGCCAGAGCTTGGTCCACGTTGCCAGCAGTAAGTTGAGCTCCTGTTTTGGTGGCCTGAGGATCAGGTCTCTGCATTTGCAGATGATGTGTTCCTGTTGGCTTCATCAGAACGTGATCTCCAGCTTTTGCTGGAGCAGTTTGCAGCTGAGTGTGAAGCACGTCTATTGCGTGTTTCTGCAAGATCCTCAAAAGCTTTCGATGATACAGAACAAAAGTGATCATGTGCAGACTCTGGTGTTGCTGCATCTTATACTCGATGTTTAAGAACTACAAAAGAGGAGAAGAGATGACATCAGTAGTAGCACAGAAGTAGACTGCACTGGTTAGAGTGCTCATTGACATTTATCTAGCTACTGATGGCGGTAATTCTGTGTTGTTACTTCTGCTGGACCTTACAATTCAATTCAAAGATACTTTATTAATCCCAGGGGGAAATTAGAGTTTCAGTACACACGATTCTGAGAGCAGACATACATACATAGGCATAGGCAGCAGCTATTCCTGAAGTGCTGCTTCACCGTCTCCATCATTATGTCGGGATTTCTGGGTTAGCCCTGGATTGGTTCAGATCATACCTGACAAATAGAAATATGTGTGTAAGGATGGGAAGTTATTCCTCAGAATACTCTGATCTACCCTGGGGGGTACCACAGGGCTCGATATTGGGTCCTCTGTTGTTTTCTATTTACATTCTGCTCTTTGGTGACATCTGTCGTGAGCTTGGAGTTCACGTCCACCTTTATGCTGACGATTGTCAGCTGTACCTGCCTCTGAACACGTCAGGTGGTCTCTCTATTTCTATTCTTACGAACTGTTTGACGGAGATCATGACCTGGACGAGTGGAAATTTTCGGAGTCTAAATGATCAGAAAACAGAGGCGATATTGTTTGCTCCGAGCAGACATTCTGACTCTTCCCTGACTTACTGTGGGTCATTTAATGGCCAGCTGAGTGCTTCAGTGACTAATCTTGGTGTTAAACTGGATAGCGCCCTTAGTTTTGACACCCACATCAATGGAGTGATCTCCTCCTCCTTTTTCCACCTTCGTCGGCTGTCAAAGATCAAATCTTTCCTGTCACGACATGATCTTGAGACGGTAGTCCATGCTTTTATTGGGGTGCGATTGGACTACTGTAACTCTGTTTTATTCGGTGTGAGCAAGCGCTCAATAGCCAGGTTGCAAATGGTGCAGAATGCTGCTGCCAGATTTTTAGAGGGCAGGCGCAAGTATGACCACATTCCTCCTGTCCTGGCTGCGCTTCACTGGCTGCCCGTTGATGTAAGGATTCGTTTTAAGATACTTTTGCTGGTTTTTAAAAAATTAAATGGTCTGGCCCCTCCTTACTTGGTGTCATTGCTTCAACCACACACCCCTGCACGGTCACTCCGCTCGGAGAACCTCATGCTCCTCTCGGTCCCAAGAACGCGCCTAAAGACACGTGGTGATAGGGCCTTTGCTGTGGCAGCTCCTAAGCTTTGGAACGAGCTTCCTCTCAGCATAAGGGCCTCACCTCTGTGGCGGTTTTTAAGGCAAGGCTAGAAACCTACTTTTATGATCGGTCTTTTAATCTTTCTAACCAGTTTTTGTTGTTTTACTTAAAGCGATCCGTGCATTCACTGTGTTTTCTATCTGTATCTTGTGATACAATGTTTTTATTTCTGGACATAATGTTTTATGTTTTTACTTGATCTGTGTAGTGCCTTGGTGGTATCTTTTTGCCTGTAAGGCGCGATTTACAAATAAAGTTGAGTTGAGAAGTAGAGTAGAACAGAGAACGTGGTGAGTGTTGTCTGAAGTTCACAGAGTGGACGCACAACGTAGGACTGGGCAATACGGCCGAAAATCAATGCCACGATATATTGAGGATTTCACCTCGATGACGGTAAATGGACGATAACTACAGGCATGCGCAGAAACAAAAGTTGTCCACTAGACGGGGCTGTCACATGTTTCATGTTGAGTCACATTTTTCGTGACTCAAGGTGGTTCAGCTTCTTAAGGGACCTGAATGTTGCCAACCTGCACACATCCTTTAATTTTTTATTATCACATTTATTGACATAAGAAAAATTATCTCAGTAAGAGTCAGAAATTTCGAAAACGATACATTTTCTATTTTTTGCCCAGCCCTACCACAAGGCGTCAAATCCTTTCTATTTCTGATGCAACAAAATGGACTCTCTTCTAACAGAGAAGCTAGCAGGAGTCGCTGATGCTGGTATTCATGCAGATGGAGTTCGAGATTTCGGCCATAGTTGCCTCCACGTCTCATGTTCGGTTTTAGTAAATAAACCCGACTTTTGTGTCACAGTGGAGGCAACCCCACCTGTTCGGTGTGCTGAAAACATTTACCAGTAAAAGAGACTTTCTAAGAGTTGATTTATCACCAGCTTCATCTTAAAACCAGATTCTCTTTGCTCCTTCAGCCATGGACCCATCCATCACTCTGTGGCAGTTCCTGCTCCACCTGTTAGAGGACCAGCGGCAGCGTCACCTGATTTCCTGGACAGGTGAGGATGGAGAGTTCAAGCTGCTGGATGCCGAGGAGGTGGCCCGTTTGTGGGGGCTCCGCAAAAACAAGCACAACATGAACTATGACAAACTGAGCCGAGCGCTCAGGTACTACTACGACAAGGTACGGCTGAAACACCTGTATGTCTCTCATTGACACCTTGCCATTGCTGATACCTACCTGTCTCCCGCCAACACCTACCCGTCTCCCGCCAACACCTGCCCATCTCCCACTAACACCTGTCTGTCTCTCCAACACCTGTCCGTCTCTCCAACACCTGTCCGTCTCTCCAGCACCTGTCCGTCTCTCCAGCACCTGTCCATCTCTCCAGCACCTGTCCGTCTCCCGCCAACACCTGCCCATCTCCCACTAACACCTGTCCGTCTCGCCAACACCTGTCCGTCTCCCGCCAACACCTGTCCGTCTCTCCAACACCTGTCCGTCTCTCCAGCACCTGTCCGTCTCACCAACCCCTGTCTGTCTCTCCAGCACCTGTCCGTCTCCCACCAACACGTGCCCATCTCCCACTAACACCTGTCCGTCTCGCCAACACCCGTCCTTCTCGCCAACACCCGTCCGTCTCGCCAACACCTGTCCTTCTCGCCAACACCCGTCCGTCTCGCCAACACCTGTCCTTCTCGCAAACACCCGTCCGTCTCGCCAACACCCGTCCGTCTCGCCAACACCTGTCCTTCTCGCCAACACCCGTCCGTCTCGCCAACACCTGTCCTTCTCGCCAACACCTGTCCGTCTGGCCAACACCTGTCCGTCTGGCCAACACCTGTCCGGCTGGCCAACACCTGTCCAGCTGGCCAACACCTGTCCATCTCGCCAACACCGTCTCTCCATCTCCCGCCAACACCTGTCCCTCTGTCTGTCTCGCCAACAACTGCCCGTCTCCCGCCAACACCTGCCCGTCTCCCGCCAACACCTGTCCGTCTCCCGCCAACACCTGCCCGTCTCCCGCCAACACCTGTCCGTCTCCCGCCAACACCTGCCCGTCTCCTGCCAACACCTGCCCGTCCTGCCCGTCTCCTGCCAACACCTGCCCATCTCCTGCCAACACCTGCCCGTCTCCTGCCAACACCTGCCCGTCTCCTGCCAACACCTGCCCGTCTCCTGCCAACACCTGCCCGTCTCCTGCCAACACCTGCCCGTCCTGCCCGTCTCCTGCCAACACCTGCCCGTCTCCTGCCAACACCTGCCCGTCTCCTGCCAACACCTGCCCGTCTCCTGCCAACACCTGCCCGTCTCCTGCCAACACCTGTCCTTCTCGCCAACACCCGTCCGTCTCGCCAACACCTGTCCTTCTCGCCAACACCCGTCCGTCTCGCCAACACCTGTCCTTCTCGCCAACACCCGTCCGTCTCGCCAACACCTGTCCTTCTCGCCAACACCCGTCCGTCTCGCCAACACCTGTCCTTCTCGCCAACACCTGTCCGTCTGGCCAACACCTGTCCGTCTGGCCAACACCTGTCCGGCTGGCCAACACCTGTCCAGCTGGCCAACACCTGTCCATCTCGCCAACACCGTCTCTCCATCTCCCGCCAACACCTGTCCCTCTGTCTGTCTCGCCAACAACTGCCCGTCTCCCGCCAACACCTGCCCGTCTCCCGCCAACACCTGCCCGTCTCCCGCCAACACCTGCCCATCTCCCACTAACACCTGTCCGTCTCGCCAACACCTGTCCGTCTCCCGCCAACACCTGTCCGTCTCTCCAACACCTGTCCGTCTCTCCAGCACCTGTCCGTCTCACCAACCCCTGTCTGTCTCTCCAGCACCTGTCCGTCTCCCACCAACACGTGCCCATCTCCCACTAACACCTGTCCGTCTCGCCAACACCCGTCCTTCTCGCCAACACCCGTCCGTCTCGCCAACACCTGTCCTTCTCGCCAACACCCGTCCGTCTCGCCAACACCTGTCCTTCTCGCAAACACCCGTCCGTCTCGCCAACACCCGTCCGTCTCGCCAACACCTGTCCTTCTCGCCAACACCCGTCCGTCTCGCCAACACCTGTCCTTCTCGCCAACACCTGTCCGTCTGGCCAACACCTGTCCGTCTGGCCAACACCTGTCCGGCTGGCCAACACCTGTCCAGCTGGCCAACACCTGTCCATCTCGCCAACACCGTCTCTCCATCTCCCGCCAACACCTGTCCCTCTGTCTGTCTCGCCAACAACTGCCCGTCTCCCGCCAACACCTGCCCGTCTCCCGCCAACACCTGTCCGTCTCCCGCCAACACCTGCCCGTCTCCCGCCAACACCTGTCCGTCTCCCGCCAACACCTGCCCGTCTCCTGCCAACACCTGCCCGTCCTGCCCGTCTCCTGCCAACACCTGCCCATCTCCTGCCAACACCTGCCCGTCCTGCCCGTCTCCTGCCAACACCTGCCCGTCTCCTGCCAACACCTGCCCGTCTCCTGCCAACACCTGCCCGTCTCCTGCCAACACCTGCCCGTCCTGCCCGTCTCCTGCCAACACCTGCCCGTCTCCTGCCAACACCTGCCCGTCTCCTGCCAACACCTGCCCGTCTCCTGCCAACACCTGCCCGTCTCCTGCCAACACCTGCCCGTCTCCTGCCAACACCCGTCCGTCTCGCCAACACCCGTCCGTCTCGCCAACACCCGTCCGTCTCGCCAACACCTGTCCTTCTCGCCAACACCCGTCCGTCTCGCCAACACCTGTCCTTCTCGCCAACACCCGTCCGTCTCGCCAACACCTGTCCTTCTCGCCAACACCTGTCCGTCTGGCCAACACCTGTCCGTCTGGCCAACACCTGTCCGGCTGGCCAACACCTGTCCAGCTGGCCAACACCTGTCCATCTCGCCAACACCGTCTCTCCATCTCCCGCCAACACCTGTCCCTCTGTCTGTCTCGCCAACAACTGCCCGTCTCCCGCCAACACCTGCCCGTCTCCCGCCAACACCTGCCCGTCTCCCGCCAACACCTGCCCGTCTCCCGCCAACACCTGCCCGTCTCCTGCCAACACCTGCCCGTCCTGCCCATCTCCTGCCAACACCTGCCCGTCCTGCCCATCTCCTGCCAACACCTGCCCGTCCTGCCCATCTCCTGCCAACACCTGCCCGTCCTGCCCATTTCCTGCCAACACCTGCCCATCTCCCGCCAACACCTGCCCGTCTCCCGCCAACACCTGTCCGTCTCCCGCCAACACCTGTCCGTCTCCCGCCAACACCTGCCCGTCTCCCGCCAACACCTGCCCGTCTCCTGCCAACACCTGCCCGTCTCCTGCCAACACCTGCCCATCTCCTGCCAACACCTGCCCGTCCTGCCCATCTCCTGCCAACACCTGCCCGTCCTGCCCATCTCCTGCCAACACCTGCCCGTCCTGCCCGTCTCCTTCCAACACCTGCCCATCTCCTGCCAACACCTGCCCATCTCCTGCCAACACCTGCCCGTCTCCTGCCAACACCTGCCCATCTCCCGCCAACACCTGCCAATCTCCTGCCAACACCTGCCCATCTCCTGCCAACACCTGCCAATCTCCTGCCAACACCTGCTCATCTCCTGCCAACACCTGCTCATCTCCCGCCAACACCTGCCCATCTCCTGCCAACACCTGCCCATCTCCTGCCAACACCTGCCCGTCTCCTGCCAACACCAGCTCATCTCGCGCCAACACCTGCTCATCTCCTGCCAACACCTGCCCGTCTCCTGCCAACACCTGCCCATCTCCTGCCAACACCTGCTCATCTCCCGCCAACACTTGCCTGTCTCCTGCCAACACCTGCCCGTCTCCTGCCAACACCTGCCCATCTCCTGCCAACACCTGCCCATCTCCCGCCAACACCTGCCCATCTCCTGCCAACACCTGCCCGTCTCCTGCCAACACCTGCCCGTCTCCTGCCAACACCTGCCCGTCTCCTGCCAACACCTGCCCATCTCCTGCCAACACCTGCTCATCTCCCGCCAACACCTGCTCATCTCCCGCCAACACCTGCCATCTCCTGCCAACACCTGCCCGTCTCCTGCCAACACCTGCCCATCTCCCGCCAACACCTGCCCATCTCCTGCCAACACCTGCCCGTCTCCTGCCAACACCTGCCCGTCTCCTGCCAACACCTGCCCGTCTCCTGCCAACACCTGCCCGTCTCCTGCCAACACCTGCTCATCTCCCGCCAACACCTGCTCATCTCCCGCCAACACCTGCCCGTCTCCCACCAACACTTGCCCGTCTCCCGCCAACACTTGCCCGTCTCCCGCCAACACCTGCCCATCTCCCGCCAACACCTGCCCGTCTCCTGCCAACACTTGCCCGTCTCCCGCCAACACCTGCCCGTCCCCTGCCAACACCTGCCCGTCTCCTGCCAACACCTGCCCGTCTCCTGCCAACACCTGCCCATCTCCTGCCAACACCTGCCCGTCTCCCGCCAACACCTGCCCGTCTCCCGCCAACACCTGCCCATCTCCCGCCAACACCTGCCCGTCTCCCGCCAACACCTGCCCGTCTCCCGCCAACACCTGCCCGTCTCCCGCCAACACCTGCCCGTCTCCCGCCAACACCTGCCCGTCTCCTGCCAACACCTGCCCGTCTCCTGCCAACACCTGCCCGTCTCCCGCCAACACCTGCTCATCTCCCGCCAACACTTGCCCGTCTCCCGCCAACACCTGCTCATCTCCTGCCAACACTGCCCGTCTCCCGCCAACACTTGCCTGTCTCCCGCCTACACCTGCCCATCTCCCGCCAACACCTGCCCGTCTCCTGCCAACACCTGCCCGTCCCCTGCCAACACCTGCCCATCTCCTGCCAACACCTGCCCATCTCCCGCCAACACCTGCCCATCTCCCGCCAACACCTGCCCATCTCCCGCCAACACCTGCCCATCTCCCGCCAACACCTGCCCGTCTCCCGCCAACACCTGCCCGTCTCCCGCCAACACCTGCCCGTCTCCCGCCAACACCTGCCCGTCTCCTGCCAACACCTGCCCATCTCCTGCCAACACCTGCCCATCTCCCGCCAACACCTGCCCGTCTCCCGCCAACACCTGCCCGTCTCCCGCCAACACCTGCCCGTCTCCCGCCAACACCTGCCCGTCTCCCGCCAACACCTGCCCGTCTCCCGCCAACACCTGCCCGTCTCCCTCTAACACCTGTCCGTCTCCCTCTAACACCTGCCTGAATGATTCTTTCCAGAACATCATCAAGAAGGTGAGCGGACAGAAGTTTGTGTATAAGTTTGTGAGTCAGCCCGACCCGTCTCTGCCTGATGGAGTACACAGCAGTGACGACGTCCCAAGAAAAGATGTCTCTGACCCAAATAACCAGTTGAAAAATATTGGGGGCATGGCTTCTACCTGTCAGTCCAAGGGCTTACCTCAGGTACCCCAAGGCTCTTAGCACTGTTTCTTTATGAAGGTATGTGAGGACCAAGTGCTGATTGGTCCATTTTTGTCCATCCACAGCGTTCGTCACCTAGCAGCTCCCAGAAGAGCTCCAGAAATGACTACATGAAGTCTGGACTCTACTCCACCTTCACCATCCAGTCCCTGCAGACCCCACCCAATCCCCGACCTGTCAAATCAGAGCTCCTGCTGCAACAAGACGCCGCCCCCCAGGCTGACCGCCCCCCCAGAGAGGTGAGTCTGTGAAGCTCGATGACTTCCTGCAGGGTGAAGATCAGGTATTCCTCGTCCAGTCAGGTTTAGGTAGAGAGATGGAGTCAAAGGTCACCATCATGATGTCACAGGTGTTCAGGATCCGCGTTTTCTGTTTCTCTTTACAAACATCTATTATTTATTTCATCTGTCATTAAAGCTTCAGATCTAATTTAAAACAGGGAGTCAGGTCGATCATCACGTTATTAACATTTTCTGCCCCCCCCCCCCCCCCCCCCCCCCCAGATCTGCCTGCTGACGGACAGTAAACCCCCCCTGTCAGTGGGAGGGGCTGTTGACTCTCTCCAGGTGATCGTAACACAGACGTCTCCCTGTCCCACTCCGGCGCTCAGTCCACAGATGCCAACCAACCCCAGCAGCCAATCACAGGTCAGGCACAAGCCCCGCCCCCTACCATGTGTGATTCATGTTTCTTACTGGATGTAGAACAAAGTAAAACAGCAATAAAAGGACAGTTTGCTGGGATCTGATTGGTTCGGAGGGCGTGGGTCAAACGTCGTCTCACCTGCTAACTGTTTCTGTTTCAGCCAATCAGCTGCTTTTACCAGCCAGAGGAGTCATAGGTCAAATGTCATCAGCTCACCTTTTCCTC